TCAGGGCGATTTAATAGGGACAGTATTGCTATTTCCTAAACTTTAAGAGATAGAAAGTTGCGTAATTTGGACCTCTTCAATATAACATTTTACAATTTGGAAAAATGTCCACCGTTTCTGAAATTTTTTGAAAAAACTGAAAATCACTGATTGAGTTTTCATTTATTTACATGGTTAATATTAGAAGAAACAATTTGAAATTCTGTGTAAAAAGGCAGTTCATCATGACAAAGTAGATGAAATTATCAGAAATATTCTATCTCCATTATTTTCAGAAATTCACCATGCAACTTTTGTTTTTCTAATGGGCACCTTAATTGTTTTTATACCATCAAATAGAGCTGAAAATTACCTTCACAACCATGTAAAACATGTTGACATTTTCACATGAAACAGCGCCGAAAAACAGTGAAACCATTTTCAGATGTGGTAAACCATGATAAAAAGAAAACAAAACATCAGCCGTCATGACTACAAGTCTCAATACTTCTTCACTTTATTATGCGAAAATGGAAAAAATACACAGAAAAACTAAGATACTAATAATTATAACTATTATTGAAGGTTTTCATTTACAAGACTTGATCTTGACATGAGGTTTAATTTGGTCATGTTATGTTATCTTCAAACCTTGAATTTGATATCAAAATTCATTCTAGATACGTGGAAATCATCAGAAATGATTTTACAAAAAATTTCAATTTTTTTCTTTTAAAATTAACCATGAAAATGAATAAAAAAGACATCACTGTATTAGGTTTTTTCAAAGTATTTCAGGAACGGTGGACATTTTTCAAATTAAAAAACGTCATATTGAAGAGGTCTAAACTACGCAACTTTTGTCTAAATTAATCAACTTTCTATCTCTTACCCTTAAGAAAATAGCAGTATTGTCCCTATTAAATTATCGGGACCCTGTATAGATACACTGTAGATGACTTTTGTTGTGCCAGTTCCGAAAAATAAGCCAATAACACCGTTTCTGAGAAACAACTGCAAGTACTTTTAATCTAAATTATAAAACAAGCACTAAGTTCGCAATTTATTAAAATCAAATCACAGTATTGAATTGACAGATATTTCAATAGTTCAAAAGGTTCACATAGCATCAAAGAGGCCTGAAACGCAGGTGCAATAATTGTCGAAGCCTACCAGTTAGATATTTCAAATTTCAAATCGATAATTTTCTATTTTTGGTTGTATGATAAATTGATATTCATATTACAGGACGTGGAAAGAGATTCTGAATTGAGGAAACCTAATTAGGAATCTGCTACTGAGGTCTATGAAAATAACAAGTTTCCATCGTTCAAGTTTGAACTCCTTGATTGGGTGAAATTATTGAAGAGGAACACGAATGGATATACAGGGTGTTTCAAAAGAACCTAACCCCCTTGCTAGGGTAGGTAGAACACTGCAAAATAAGTTGGGTTTGTTCAGTGAAAAAATGTCGTAACGGCATTCGTTTTCATGATACAAGGTGTTGGAAAATTGATTTTTTACACATTTTTCACGATTATGTCGAAACTACTGGCAACATTGTGATGCAATTTTGTATGAATGTTTCTTGAAATCTGACACATCACATGAATTTGTTTTTATATCTGACTCTCATAGAGGGCGGTAGTTACAGGGTTCGTACCGAGTAGTTTAGAACATAACTTTTTTGAGGTTATATTTTTCAATCCAAATATGATATGAACTTGAACATCATTCAATTTTACATCAAAAAGGTACTCTTGATGAAACTCGATACTATGTTCCGTTTTCGGAATATTTCGATATGAAAATAAAGGAGTAATAGCTGATGCTGGTATAAAATGAATTTTATTGAGTTCAATTACCTATTTATTCCGATTCAAAAACAATAACATTATTCTTGTGCTGAAGTTATTGATAGAACAAAGAATCACAAGTAGAAAATCAAGAGATATTTGACTTGAAACATGAATTATTGAATCAGTTAGAGTAAAAGTTCAAAATGTCCTACGTTTCGAAGAAAAAACGATTTTACATTTTTTTCTTCAGAATGTATTATTCTTCTTAACAGTTGAGGATCAGCTGTTAGGTCATTTAAGTGATGTTCAATTATGTCTTACAACTCTTGACGTGAATTTACCTATGTAGCATAGACTTTCTCCTCAAGATACAACAATACTGTGTAATCCATGTTCTTAGTCAAATCTGTTTCGATGTTATTCTTGTGATTCATTGTTGAATCAATAAGTTAAGCATCAGAAATGTATTGTTGTTTTCAGTTTTCAATGAATAGGTGATAATTTTTCCTAATACTCACTCTAATACATAGCTTAATACCAGCAACAGTTATCACTTCATCATTTTCAAATCGAAATATTCCGAAAGCGGAACACAGTATCGAGTTTTACCAGGAGTACCTTTTTGGTGTGGAATTGAATGATAAAAAAATCATTTTTTCAACACCTTGTATCTTGATAACAGATACCGTAATGAAATTTTTTTACTGAGTAAACCCAACTTATTTTGCAGTGTTCTACCTACCCTAGTGAGGAGGTCAGGTTTTTTTGAAACACCCTGTATAATATATAAAGGAATACATAGAGAATTCGCATTCTCTATGTGATGAAAATATCAATTCTCTCTCGGTTTATTCAACAGAAAACAACTACTTTCCTGGCTATATGCCACGACGAATATTGAATTAGATCTATTGAACATACACGATAAGAATTTGAAAACAAAATCGTCTGAAGTAAAGAATTTGCTTTCTCCTTCATATGAAGATATGCACATAATATTCTGAATATGCAACAGAAAACAAAAAATGAAAATCCTCTGGAATTGAGAATTGACATCATCTCTCAAATCGTATAAAATAATATGATGTATCATGATATAAAAATATAACTTACCAACATGTTCAGTATTGAAATGAAAATTGAGATGTATATGAGAAGTATACTTGTATAAACTCTGATCTTGATGAGCTTAGAGATGAAAATTGTGTATATCATGAAGAATGGCTGAAAGAATAACTGGACTTCAGGTTACTGATGAGGATTTGATACCCGAAATGAATTTATTCCAGTGGAGTCATATAACCTGTTTGTGAGAGATATAATTTCCATATCACTGATACGAACGATTTTTTTTGAAGTTCCAAGCTCATCAAGACCAGAGTTTATACAGGGTGCGGCAGAGAGGACGGACGTTTTTGAGATGGGTAGTACTCTTCCCCTCCGTCTACGAGAGAGGTGGGGAGGGTTCCGTTTGACTTGTGAGTTCCTAGCATTGTTTCACCAGTTGTCGTCATGGAGCCTTGGACGGTGGGGCACCGCGTTTTCGCCTATGATTGTTTCGTCCGAAATAATGAGTCAGTCACCGTCGTACAGCGTGAGTTTCGTCGCCACTTCAACATTCATCGGAATAGAGCTGTTCCCTCTCGAAACACCATCCTTCGTTGGGTTGAATCACTTCGCAGGCGTGGTGAACTGATCAACAGAAGACCAAGAGGAGCACCGCGAACAGTTCGAACTTCTGAAAATGTTGAACGCGTTCGACAAGCCTTTCTTCGCAGTCTGACTCGATCTGCCCGGAAACATGCTGCTGCACTTCGTCTCAGTGATCGTTCGGTGAGGCGAATTTTACGTATGGATCTCCGCTTTCACCCCTACAAATTGGCTATTGTGCAACAGTTACAGCCCGGAGATTATGCACAACGAATGAACTTCGCACGTGAGATGGAAGCACTGATCGATCAAAATGAGAACCTCATTTTGTTCATGAGTGACGAAGCCCACTTTCACCTAAATAGCATGGTTAACTAGCAGAATTGCCGTTATTGGACTAATGAAAATCCGCAACAGTTACACGAAAGACCGCTGCACAGCCCAAAAGTAACGGTTTGGTGCGCTGTATCGCAAACTTGCAACATAAATACAATACACGCTTCACACAAAATTTATCTTTAAATCTACCATTATATAGAAAAACACATACCCAAAGAAATATTTTTTTTTTTTGGTCCAAAACTGTATAACCTTCTGCCACTAGAATTGAAGAAAATCAATAAATTGAATAGGTTTAAATCTGACCTCAAAAAATTCATTCACCATAATCACGAAATGTTAAAAAACATTTTCTGAACCAATAAGAAACAGCAGTTGATTCAACTAACTCAACTTCTAAGCTTCCAAAATGTCTCCCAACAACTTTTTCTCCACTCTTATTACATAAAGAAAAGCACTGTTAATTTAAATATTTTATGCCATCAATAAATGTATATGTATATATAGATCAGCTACTTGGTTGTAGGTCAATAATATAAGATGTTATTTGTTAACATACCCTGCTGAATTATAGACGTCTGATACAAGACAAGCACTTGAGTGCTTAGGTGAAGCGTCTTGACTCAGCAGAGTAATAAAAATAAATTGATCTTTATATGAAATATGTACTTTAACAACAATGAATAAATTGAATTGAATTAAACTTCTTCGAAGACGGTAATGGTCGTGCTGTTACTGTGAACTCAGAGCGCTACGTCGGAATGATCACCAACTTCCCAGATTTCTCCATATGCGATTTTTTCATATGGGGACACCTCAAGGCTAGAGTATACGAGAACAAGCCCCGAACTCTGGACGAATTGAAGGACGCAATTCGCGTGGAAGTCGCTCAAGTTGAGAGAGCGATGTTGGAGAGAGTCTACGCGAACTTCCAAGAACGTCTCCAGCACTGCATCAACGATTTCGGCCACCACATGTCAACTGACTGTCTCAAATGCTTTTTCCTCTCGAACCTGATTCCGTCAATAAATTTGTTTTTGAGTAAAAATTAACTATTTTATGATTCCTTTAAAACCGTCCGTCCTCTCTGCCGAACCCTGAACAAGTATACTCCTCACGGCGAAAATCAAATACTTTTTGTATAATAAATGACTATATTTTTTTTTCGAGACAGGCCAATTCTTCGACTGTGTTTTGACTTTTTGAACATAAAATACACGGCCGTTTTCTTACCTGGGCTGGGCGGTTCCGCCCTCACCACCTGAGCCACCACCTGATCCCCACCATCTGCCACATCAGTTTTGACCGAGAGCGGCTCAGTGACGTCGGGGCTGATGTCCGGCATGGCGATGTCCACCGGCTGCTGGGGCTCCTCTACCGGCGCCGTTTCCATCGCCTCGGCCACCTTTCGAACATTTCGTGGATTATTTATCGCCTCTGAATCATTGGGCAATAAAAAAATATCCGGAGGATACAGCAAAGAAACATGAGTAGAGAGAACATCGGATAAATGATCATCATGATAGGTATTTGGTCTTATGAAAAATTGATTGATTGATCGATTGTCTTTATTACCCCAAGAAACATATTTGTTTATAATAGGGATACATAAACAATACACATAATGTTATACATACAATTATGAAAACAAGTGAACACAAGAAAATGCAAATAAGCATGCAATATCAACCTTGTCTTTTATAAATAGGTATTCAAATAAGAAATGGAATTATCAAAGTCTCTGAGGCCGATATTTTTTCAAATTAATTTTGAATCTTCTTGCTTCCTGTATATTCCTCAATTGACTTGGTAATGAGTTGTATAGAGCGATTCCTGTGTGAAAAATGGATTGTTTGCCGATATTTGACTTATATGTATTTGCTATTAGTAAATTTGATTGTCTTGTTCCATGATTATGTAATGAATTAATTTCATTTTTTCAATTTATTTAGGACAAATTGAATGAAACAACATATTTCAAGTTTGTATAGTGATGTCAGATCTAATTAATCTCTAGGTTTGAATAAATTCATGGTTGGTTCGAGAAAATTTGAATTGAAAATTAACTTCAATGTTTTATTTTGTAATTTCATTAGTGGACTCAAACGTGAAATATTGGTACTTCCCCATATTGGAGTGGGGCAAACATATTGAGGTTCTGACAAAGAAAATATCTCCTATTATTGGTGCATTGAGAAGATGTCCTAAACTCAATATGAAAATTTCAAATATAGTACTCTATTCACATATACCAAGTCGAATTAACTATTTGATAAATGTTTGGGGATCATGCTCTAAAAATAAATTCAATAAAATATCAACATTATAATGTATAGGAAATCATTAAGAGTACTGTATCATCTTCCATATGATACACCAACATCTGAACTGTATGCCTTAACACAAATATATTCTTCAGAAGAACTGTACAGATCATATAATATCATGAATAAAAAATTGAAATCTAATATTATTTTGACAAGAGATTTTGAAATTCATAGTCATCAAACTAGACAATATAACTTATTTCACCTTGATGCTAGTAGTTCTACACTCGGACAAAAAAAATGAAATTAAAAACTGCAGAAATATAGGTACATTTGAAAAGAAAATGAAAAAACTGATCATTACTGAGAGGAATGTTAAAAAATGTATCAGTAAGTTATGTCCTTGACTAGAATGCTTTTCTTTGTGCATTGATTGTTATGTTTTATTGTGATATCCTGATTTATTATGATTAATTATTCATGTTCACTTCTACTCATGTTTGTGTAGTAGTTCATAGATATTTATTACTTATTATTTTATAATTATGTTCTTCCTCATACCAGAACTTGTTCTGACTGAAAGATATGTTTGATAGATGAATAAACAAATAAATCGCATTTCCTTCAAATGTTAAAGTTTCACTTCAATTCAATAATACATATCTATATTAAAGGCTCCACCACCGGCGCTGTTTCCATCGCCTCGGTCACCTTTCGAACATTTCGTGGATTATTCATCGCCCCTGAATCATTGGGCGATAGAAAAATATCCGGAGGATGCAGCAAAGAAACAGGAGTATACAACAACGGCATTTTTTCTAGCTTCACCGTAAATTAATAGCATGTGAATTTTTTCATTTTGACTGTAATTTTCCATTTCACAATTCGTAACAACGAACTGACAATAAAAAATAGTGTTTCTTAAGAGTTTTTGCCAAAACCAATAACTTCAATATGGCTGCCCGCAAATGTCATAATAATTTTTTGATGCCTATTACTTTTGAAAGCCTCCTTTTTTTTTCTTTTTTTAATGATAGCTTAATGGCCACCACAATGAACTATTGCGTTTAAGCAGATTATGATACTGGATATTGATTAGGAATATCCTTTTCAGATATGGTAATGAGCCACCCTTGTTGTATTCGAAAATATTGGGTTAACATCATAATAACGATATTGTAAATTTTGAATGAACCTGTGAAACAAATGGAAAGTAAAATTTCATCAAAACTATTTTTCCTTGGTAATTTGATTCAAAATCAACGGTGTCATTTCCGGTCGAACCGGAAGTGACAGAAAACAATTGAATACGTCAAATAATGCATATTTATGTACTCAACTCACATACCTGATTTAATTTGTTTATCTGTAGAAACAAAATAGTTATAGGGGTGAGCCACTTTTCAGAAACACTCGGTAGAGAGAACATCGGATAAATGATAAATCGAATTTCTTCGTTTTTTAGTGTCTAGAACCGATTTCATATTCAAATTAGATGTTCCTTCAGATATCAAAGGACACTTCAGGTTTCACTTCGAATCAATAATACATATCTACACTAATACTAGCTGACCCAGCAAACGTTGTTTTGCCATAAACATTATTTTTTAGATAAATATTCATCAAAAAACTTTCATTTTTTTTTTTTTTTTTTTTAATCGATTGGAGCGCACGAAAGGGAATCCCTATAATGTTCAAAGAACATCGTGCGTTCCATTTTTTTTTTAGTTTGGCTATCCATAAAAGCGGGATTCCAAACATAAGACAATAGTGTTTGTTGATCATATTGTATTCTAGTTGAAAGGTTGAAAAAATGTACAGCAGATTTTCGGAAAACTAATTTTCAAACCCTGGAAGTCTATCTTTTGGAGATAAACAGAAAAAATTGAATATCTCAAAAACCATCAACTTATGTATAATCCATATTAGGGTTAAATTCACTCCCTATCACATCACCAAAGGAATGTATCGAGTTACCAGTAACCCTGTATAATAGTAGCTATAGGCAAAAATAATAAAAAAAAAATATATATGTACTGTAGATACGCGCATAGCTCAGAACGACTATACATTGATACACACTTGAAATGGAATATTCATATTATATCATATATAAATAAATAATTCAAATAGGGAAAAGCCAAAATACTAAAAGTGAAATGAAATGGTAAAAAAGAGGAAACAACTCAGTTATTACCGTCATTATTCGTCCATTTTATGAACTATTGTGGTAATTAGAGTAACTTTATGAATAGAGTTACCACAATAGTGGTACACATACATCAGTACCTTAGATATTAATTACAAGAATTTGTCTCAGATTATTCAGATGATGAAATAAAAATATCAAATATCCAAACCTAACATCAGGTACCCACCCTCGAAGGCGCAAATTCATTACTACATGGGAGATACCCTTCAGATTTTCAGCTATTCAGTGACTTGACCACGAGTAACATTCCGGAAACGGCAGCCATTTGGAGATCTATTGTCGTCAATTTAATCTACTCACTCTAGTGGTTAATGACTTTCGAATTTCTCCCTCGTTGTTAAATTATTATCATTATTAATCACCTCATTGGTAACCAGCAAGCACTGCTGCTGCCCATCGCTGCCCTGCGTCAACAGAATGGTTTGGCCTTGCTCGTTCTGCCCGGCCACCTGGTACACGGTGCCGTCGTCTCCGGTTATGAAGATCGGGTTCTCGTTGTCGGCCAACGTAAAGGTGGACATGTCAGGTGCCAGGGACGCCGCCTGGTCATCTTGAGACACGTGTTGCTGCTGCTGGGACACCTGATACAAAATCGAAAATTGAACACGGTATTTCATCAATCAATCAATCAACTTTATTATTACCAAGAAACTACATTTGTTTATAGCAGGGAAGATAGCAAATACAAAATAGTGTCACGATATAATCGATTTATAAGGGGTAAAGCTTGGCCTAATAGTTTGCGAGAGGTAATATTCGAATAGCCACTAATAGTTTAGGGGTAACTGAAAGTACGAGACTATATTCAAAGATAACAATATTTATTATAAGACCAAACATTATGGGCAGCAATGACAACTTACATTATAATCACCTCGACGAGTTCTTGTCAAGTCAATTCGTGCTGGCACAGAGAATCGTATTTTAACTCTGTGTGAATGTGGATTTTCATATAGTACGTCATAGGAATGGTGGAGGAGCCAAGTTCCTCTATTATTCATTTTTTTCTGAAGTGAAATTTGATCTTACGAAAAAAAGAAAAAATACGTATATATTTATTTTTTAAAAACTTCACAGTGATATGAGAACCTCAATATAGGAAACTTCCTCATTGTTAGAATCCGTCCTTTTGGACTCATTAGCCACAGATTATTTGGATGGTTAAATGAAAATATCAAATATCTAAGTCTGATATCAGGCGGGCACTTCCGAGGCGCAAATTCATTACTGCATGGCAGATACCCTTCAGATTTTTAGATATTCAGTGACGGTAGCCATTTGGAGGTCTATTGTCGTCACTTTACCGTTTCCATACTCACATTGACATCGACTTGTTGCTGCTGCACCGCCTCCTGTTCCTCCTGATGCTCGTCGGCCTCGTCCTGCTCCGCCTTGCCCGTCTGCGCGTGCGCCACAGCCACGACGGTGTGCTGCGGCTGCTCCTCCTCCTGCTGCTCCTCCTCCTCCTCATCCTCCTCTTCGGCGGCGGCGGCCGCGACCGCCGTCTCCAGCAGCTCGGCCACCGTCGCAGAGGGCGGCACTGGCGATTGCGATCTGGCCGACAGGCCGGAGGGTTTCGGGACGATCAGCAGCTCGTCGTCGCCTGCACACCACAGTTATGTGAATCTCTAGTTTTAAGCCAGTCAAACTACGGTGATATGATTAATGGACCTTGTCTAGACGCCTAAAGTCGTGGAAATACACCAAGTCACAAAACAAAAGCCTATAGAATTTCTGGTTACCATTCACATGTGTATTCTTAAGTATTCCAGATTTTGACAATAATCATGATAATCATGGTAACGAATATGGCAGTTCATCAAAGTCAACGAGAACGGATATTACAAGTTCCCATGTTTTTTTTTCTCAGATTCATAATATATTATATTTACCTAAAAAAACGAATAATCATAGTTGAACATTGAACAGTATTGTCGCGGAAAATCAGTTCGGGAAACCTGACGAGATGTTTTCAATACCTACCCGAAATAAATGTTGAAAATACGAAATTCGGATATGAGATCTCTTGCACCATGAACAAAGGACGGCTCTTGATATTTCAATACCTACCTTCTCTCCCCTTCCACCCCAGGGATGGACGATGTTCTACGAACATAAAATAGTGATTCTCTCTCGTTCGTCTTGAGCGATAATAAAAATTGAAAATATTAGCTGCAATCCAAAATATGACTTCAACCTTATCGGATTTTGGAATAAATGAACTATAAGATTTCTCAAGCTGTTCAACATCATCTGTTTTCCGCAAAAATATTTACAAGCGATTGATGCTTTGGCAAAAAAAATATCAAAAAAATCTATTAGTTTTCTCCCCTCATTTCTAAAAAAATTATAGAGATATAAAAGTATCTGTTGATGACTGGGCGTGGAGATTTTTCTTTGCCCCGAAGTATTTAAAAATTTATTTTCAGACCTGAAAGAATTTTTTCAGCTGATAGTCAGTGACGTGAAATAAGATGTTGAAAGGTATTTGAGGAAAAAATTATAAAGAAAATATGTGAAGATGTATTACTCTCCATATCAATTAGAGGTTTCGGAAAACACTCTGTATCCATTATCAACATGAAATTCTTTCTAACAAATGTTTTGTCTTTTTGGCTTTCTGCAAGAAAGTAAGTAAGTATAAGTAGTATAGCTCACATGAATTATATTTCGAATAATAATTCCTCGTCAACATCAACTTAATTTAATATGAATTATTCAGGAAGTAACATTTTTCAAAGACAAATATTTTCATTTGAACGCATTGGCCCTTCCTCCGATGACGTATCGCTCTCATCTGAATTGAAAGTTATCACGACCTCGATCACGACAGGTTCAATATTGGAAGCACCTATGTATTTCTTCGTCTCCCATGCCGAAAATATCACATTTTCTGTATGTCGTACATAATTTCTCTAATGCTCCACACCCACAGCTTCTAACGCCTTTGACTAGAGACTAGACCATTATCACATCTCCCGGGGATGATTTAGTTTTGATGATTTCGGCGTCATAAATCCTTTTAGCCTCTGACCACACCATTTCTATGGCATTATATTGGCAATGGTGAGGTGGTAAACTCAAAATATTGTGACCATGTTCTGATGCGTAAATATCTAGATGATATATTTTTGTTTGGAATGACGTACGTTTGCCTGCAATTGATGGTTGTTCTACAAGAAACTGCCTATTGTTGCTCCTCTTGAATTTGAATCCAATTTTACGAATCCAGGTATTCACGGATCTTGGTGAACAAGGAAAATCAGGCCATTCTTCAGTGAAACGCTTATGGAGCGATTTTATTGTAACATGTACTCTAGGAGCCTGTAAAATTGTGGGATTTACCTTTTTTTTTATTTCTTCGGCATAATTCGGAACTGTTTCTGCATAAACAGCATCAGAGTTTGTTTGCGAATTCTTGATCCGATAAATACTCCTTTCTGAAATATTCAGAGCTTCCGCGGCAATGCTGACAACATTATTTCTTTCAACTTGGCAAAAATCATCGTGTTTTACAAAATACGCGATGACACTCAGAATCAATGTTTTATTAGATTGATCATTGAATCGTTATAAGGAATTCGAAATATTATTGATGTATAACCAGTACTCCAATTGTTTGACATTAAGTCACAGTGACAATTCAATGATCAAAATATATGAATCAAGTTCCGACGTTCCTTTTTCTAGTGATTTTCTGTCTCATTCAGCTTGCGATGAATAAAAAGAAACAGATTTTGCCTTGGTGTATTTCCACGACTATAGTTCTTTTGATGCATATGGGGTTTAGATAGGTTGTCATCATATTTAAAATGAGAGAATGGATATAGACAAGACACGTAAATTTTGATGATTCGAATCCTCTATACATAAGTATATACTTAAAAAAAGTTCCTCATTATCTTGGAGATGATAGTTTCAAATAGATTCCCTAGATTTCCCCGGAGTTTTTATCAATTGTACACCGGAATTCCCAAGTGGTCATGCTTCAGTACTAATAAAAATATCCCCTTGTATTCCTAATAATGATCGAGATTTTATTTAATCCCTGATTATTTTGTGGCACGGGCAACAGTGTAATGCCTAAGTAACCTGAAATATATAAAAATGAAGAAGAAGAAAAACTACATTGTCAACCTAACTTCCTGACGTTAAAATCGGCTGTCATCTTCATCGTCAAATCCTTGTTTCATCTGGTCGAATATTCTTGTACTTGTCTGTCAGAAATAGAGAATTGATAGGTCATTCGAATTCTTTATGGTACTTCACGCTTTCCCGCGTTTTTCATATTATGGAATATCGTGAATTTCAATAATCATTTTGAATAGTTACAGGGCTCTGAGAAGAAAACGGTTTGCGACAGTGAACTAGTTAGGGGTAGTACTTCGAAATAGTGAAATAAAATTGTTCACTGAAACAGGCTCATTGTACAGGGTGGGCCAAATTGGACATCTCCAAGGGAAAGTCCTATTTCCAAACTAGATAGATGAAAACTGATGTTGGTGTCTGATGGTCAATTTTTATGACAAACTCAATGGTGAAAAGTTCACATCGATATCTGTTATCGTTTCTGAGTTACAGCATGTTTTTCGAAAATGTGCATTTTCGAAAACTTGCTGTAACTTTTTTCCTGTCGAAAATTTGTTGTTTCTATGAAAACATTTCCAAAGCACTTTTTCACGTAGAATTCAATGGTATAAGTAATTTACTTCAATAGAGCTTGAAATCACCATTGCAAAAATATAGCATACTTGATATTTTATTGAAGTCATTTTTGAAATGCAGTGCTTTCAAGTTTTCAGATGCGGCGATAAAAGAGAAGGCGAATTTTTTTTCATCTCTTGGAGCGCACGAAAGGAAATTCCTATAGTGTTCGTGGAGCATCGTGCGTTTCTAGGGAAGATAGGGAGAGGAGGTAGGTGTTGGAATTTTCTTTGAACTTTTGAAGGTTATAAGTTCTTGGGAATACTTCCATTGACAAGGAATTCCAAAGCCGTCAAATTTTAAGAAAGCTGTTCATAGCAGTAATTAAAACTCATTTGTTCAACACAACTGAACTGAAAACAATTCAAACTATATTCAAAAATGATAAACTTCAACAACAATAATAAAGAACGAACAAGAACAAAATATTCCTTCAGAGAAGGTGTCCGAAATGTCTACCAGCTTCTCCTACGCACAGGCGGCACCTTTTCTGAACATGTCTTGCCGCATTGATTGGTTCAATGGGAGTGAGAGAAGCAAAACTCTGCATCACTGCCGCTTCCAATTCCTGTCTAGAGTTGGTCAGCAATTTAAAAATGAGATTTATCATCCTTCCCCAGAGGTAAAAGTCCATAGGCGTTAGGTCCGGTGACCTGGCCGGCCAACGGTTGGGACCTTGGTTGGCCATCCAATTATTGCCAAAATTCGCTGCTAAAAAATTGTGGACGATTGCAGTGTTGTGAGCCCCATGTTGCTGAAAATATATCTCCCTGAGCTCCATTAGCGGCAATTCGTCAAGAAGGGGTTCTATTTGATTCATTAAAACTTCCAAATACCTCTGAGAGGTGAGAGTGTCATTATTAATATACGGGCCGATAATTCTACCCCTAAAAACACCTGCCCATACACTTAATCCAAATCTTCCTCGTATTCTCTGCTCCACAATAGAATGAGGATTCTGTTGTGCCCAAGTATACGAATTGTAGCGGTTGAAAATACCGGCACTGCTCACAAGCTTCGTCTGTCCAAATACAATTTAACGGAAAATCACGCACTCGGTTACAATTCTCTAGAAACCATTGGCAGAAATTCATGCGGCGTTAAAAATCTCCTGGTATGAGGTGATGAAATTTTCTGGTCCTGTATGGCTTGAATTTGTGCTGTTTTAAAGTACGTCTGATGCTACTTCTTGGTAGGCCTGTTGTTATTTCCAAATTTCGTGTTGAAGTTCTGGGATTATTTTCAACAGTTCCTAAAACAACTATTTCTCCCAAATCCCTATCCCTATTTGGTTCATATACTTTTAGCCTTTTCTTCTTGAATTGACTGCGTCGCAATCTCGCATAAATATCTCCAAATGGTTGTCTTCTCTCTGGATACCTCTCGTGGTACAAATCGCTTGCTGCTTCTGCATTTTCCCCGGTTTGTATAAAACAGACTATCATATCCCATTTTTCATAATTTTCAAACTTCATTGAAAATGTGTTTGTGAATTGAACGAAAACCACGAATTGAGGAGCGTCTTTACTGCTCTAATAGGTCGCGTGCACGATGACCGACCCTGGAGGCAAAATATTGAAACACAACCTCACTCTTCTGTGAATTATTGAAACACAACCTCACTTTTTTATTTGTTTACAGAGGAATCAAAAGGTTGAAATAGTTTTTCACAATATTTTGGCATATGAATCATGTTTCTTGCGTTATTCATTAATTCAAGCATGCCTTCGCATTGTGCTGTTGTACAATTCATAAAAAATGCTGCAAGAGACTAGGGAATATGATTTTTCAGGTAAATAGTAATCTCACATAGTTATCATTATGAAATGTTGTCATTCCTTATTAAATTTCCTTCTGCCTTCTGCCACTTCTGCAATACAAGCTAATACTGCTAATAGATTGAAAATGTCTACAACACACACGATCGTCAGTATGTCAGACCAGTCCTCCCGATTGATTGCATGAATCCAATCTTCTTGCATTATTCTAGAAATTTCAGGTATATTTCTATTAGCTCTTATTGCAGAAGGAATTCCGATGAGAAATCAGAGAAATACCCAAATTTCAAAAATTAAAACTATATGTGAGTGACTAGAGTAGGTACTTACTTTTAAATCATAATGTACCATCCGGATTCCTTCATCTTCCGCTGCAGTTTTTGTGCATTTTATAACAGCACAATGTGATGGCATGAGCGAATTAATGAATAGCCGAAAAATACGATTCGTATGCCGAAATAGTTGTGAAAAACTATTACGATCACTTGTAAACAAATAAGAAAAGTGACGTTGTGTTTCAATGTTTTGCCTCCAGCGTCGGTCATCTGACAGTTCTTGCACGCAACCCATATTACTTTGGTCATAATTTGACAGCATAGTAAACATTCCATTTCTGTTTTATCACCGCGTCGTCCAAAGCCTACTTGTTCAAGATGTGTGTTTCAAAGTTTAGATGTGAAAACCAAAAAAGCTCTGCATTTCAAAAATGACTTCAGTAAATTACCGAGTGTGTTATATTTTTGGAATGGTAATTTCAAGCTCTATTGAAATATGCAGAAATATACAGGGTGTCCCATTTGAAAAAAATATTTTTCCGTTATTAACTATTGATATATACTTTGAAAATATAAATACCATTGAATCCTACGTGAAAAAGTGCTCTGGAAATGTCTTCATAGAAACAACAAATTTTCGACAGGAAAAAAGTTACAGCAAATTTTCGAAAATGCACATTTTAGGAAAACATGCTGTAACCCAGAAACGATGATAGATATCGATGTGCGGTTTTCACTATCAAGTTTGTCATAAAAATTGACCATCAGACACCGACATCAGTTTTCGTCCATCTCGTTTGGGATCAGGACTTTTTCTTTGAAGTTTCCCATGTGGTCAACCCCTCGATATCCCCGAACCGTTCGCTCACCCATCAACGATGGCATGCTGATGACCTTCCTCGGCTTCGACGCCACCGTCGTCACCACCTTCCTCGTCTCGATCATCTCCGGCTGACCTCTGATCACCATCGGCTCCTTCTTCTGCACGAACTGCCGCTGCTGCCCCAGCCCCGCCGAGCTCTGCACCAGCCGCGGTTGCGACCCTCTGGGCTGCGGCCGCGACGACTGCGGCTGCAGCAGGTGTTGCTGCAGCTGCTGGTGCTGGTGCATCTGGACGATGGGCGAGCTGGCCGTTCGGATGATGGTGTTGCCGATTTTGCGCATCGTGGGTTGTGCGGGCGATTTGATCGGGGATTTGGCGTAGGTGTAGATGCTGCGAGGTGAGACTGTGGGTTGGGCTCTGAGGATTAAAAATTGAGAATGTATTCATTGATTTGTTCAAAATTTCAATTCCAGCTGAAACAAGTACTCAACAATAGTAATAACAAAAATAAATTTTCCAAAATAATATTAAGGGTTCAATGTGAAACAATGACAAGCCTCAGAAAGGTGAAAATGGGATATTTGACTTTGAAAGTTAGAAATAATATACAGGGACCATGGTGGATGGCCTATTAGGAGTATCTGGAGAACGAAAAGACAAAAAACTCTGAAAATTGGGATGCTTAGATAATTGTACATTCTCTATCCGTCTAAAATATTTTCATCGATAGTGTTGCCACTTTTATCAGAAACAACTAGCTGTTCTATATCATACCAAAAAATTTGAATACCTCGCAAATTTTGTGGCCTGAACCCATATTCCATGCCGGCCGCATCATATTCTGTTTCCATTTTTGTAGAATTACGTTATCCGATAGAAATTAGAATAGAGGGAATTGATTCCCCGTGTTCTAACAGTTGGAAACTGCACAAACTTGCATCTTTCTCCTAATTCTCTCAATTTGTCAAACGTCAAAATCAGCAGTAACAAGTACATTTAGGAACTCTACTTGTCATAACACACCAAGATTTTCATTTGCTGATACCAATCATGATCTGGATCACCATGAACTGATGTCGTTGATATGGTAACAATCAGCCCCCTCGATGATGTTTAAGAAACTACCGTTTAGTAGCATTTACATTTTTTTTGTTATTTTTTCTTCGTTTTACCTGTCCTGAAGTGCATAAAATAGTATATACACCTCGTGACTAAAGTGTTTCTAAATCCCTCGAACTCACGGCGCAGGCAGGTCAATGCTGTCAATGAAGAACTTGCTGAAATCACAGCCTGGGGAACCAACAACCTAGTTGAATTCAATGCCACCAAAACTCAAGCCTGTATTTTCTCTAGAAAGGCGGAACTCAGTATGCTCGATATTGTTATGTCTGGCACCACCATCCCCACCAAGCCAACCATATCTATGCTCGGTATTTCCATCAGCAACACTCTTCCATGGGATAATCATGTCAGATCCATCGCAAAAGCTGCTTCACAAAAACTCGGATTCTTGTTCCGTGCGAAAAGCTACTTCACACCTCAACAGCTTCTCATGATCTACAAAGCGCAGATACGGCCTGCTCTAGAATACTGTTCCCACATATGGGGTTCAGCCCCAAAACTTACGCTGATGCTCTTAGATTCCATCCAGAGAAGAGCCATTCGCCTGGTAGGTGACGCCACACTCACTCACTCTTTGACATCATTGGCACACCATAGAAAGGTCGGCGACCTTTCACTTTTCTATCGATACAGCCACGGGAAATGTTCTTCGGAAATCTCTGCTATCATTCCTTCACTAGCAAGACCAGTCAGACGAACGAGACAAGCCCAGTCAGCACATCCTTTCGTTGTCAACCTCGAAAGATGTCGAACAGCAATTTATCAAAACTCCTTCATCCATAGAACGGCTAGACTCTGGAATTCATTGCCAACAACATATAATCTCCAGAAGATCAAAAAAAATTCCAATACCTACCTTCTGTTTCTATCCTCCCTAGGAACGCACGATGTTCTTTGAACATTATAGGGATTTCCTTTCGTGCGCTCCAAGCGATAAAAAAAATTATAGCCCTCCCGTTGGTCGGGCTATAAACTTATTGTCTAGGGATTTAAAATACCACTTCACTCCCTATTTTCTCACAGTATTCATGATGAATAGGTTCTCAAAATCACAAAGCTTTGGCTGAGCCAATTTTACACAACGAGAACTAGAATTCCGAAATCTTCTATGTTCAATACTTGTACGCTTTTTTATTGAATACGACTGTACCATGTCTATGTACGGACCCTCATGGAAAATGTTGATGCTTGTCCCCCTCCTCAGCTGTTCAATAGCCGACAATTCTACGTCGTATGACGTCACTGACAGTGCTCTATCGCGCGATCGTCACTCACCTGACCACCCTCGGCGAAGCGCCGCCTCTAGGCCGCGACGACCCCACCGCCTTGCCCCTCACGTACGCCCCCGCGGGCCTGATGATCGGACTCATCACCTGCAGAGAATAAGATAAATAGAAAATAGTGTTACTAGTTTTAAATAGTGTTAAATATTCAAATATTATGTTAGGTGATTAACTAGGTTAAGGATGATAATTGTTCGATGTCAATATACAGGGTGGCATTGAAAGAATTGCAAAAATTTCAAACACTGAAAAAATTCGACGTGTACTATCGAATGGCACTAATAAAAAAATTTTGGGATCAAAATATAATTTGAGGTTAGACTCCTTTTAACACCCAAAGTTCTACAGTGTAGCAAATCTGACGTCACCTCTGTTCAAATTTCCATGCGGTAGGAACAATCACGCGGATCATCGCTATTTTTCATGATATAAACATCAACAAGGACGCCAAATTGTCTTCTTCTTTTTTTTATTCGTTAGCTATTCACTAGCTATAATCATCTTCAGATATATTCAGAATGGATTCATAATGTACGTCAGTACGTCACAATTTGCCGCCCCGAAAATTAAAGTCCCCATGAGGTAGAGTTTGTTTAGAAATAAATAGAGTGCCTAGAAGACCCGACGTTTAATGCTTTTCAAAGAGTGAGGACACCACACTACTTGTCATGTCTGGAAATATCTGAAAAAATAATAAGACACAAATGATTTTCAAAAGAGATTGAATGAGTTTCTTCTCTTCTTCTTCATTAAACGATTGCAGACATATTTCTCACGGAAACCCAAGCAGTGGAGTATCACTGAAGGCATCTTATTTAGTTATATTATTTTGTTCAATGTATTTATGGAAAACAATATTTTCCATTTATCGATAACTGACAAGATAACCTTCACTCGACACGTGGATTTGAATACTTGTAATGCAAGCACTACATGAGTATTATTCCCTTTTTTTATATTTGTTTCAACTCGTTATCACATGACGGAAGAATGTCCGGAATTTCAAGTCTAATGTTGAAACTTTAAAATCTTAAAACCTAGATATGTATAATTGTATATATTCGGGGAAATATTAGTGGGAAGCAGTCGTTGTGACCAATATCATTTAGATTTTTTCGATTTATTTGTCGAGCTTTCGAAATGTTCATTTTATTTATCAAGACTTACAAAAATATCGAATGAACAATAATGTTAGTATATAGTACATCAATGAAAATTAGAATATTTACAAATATTCCCCCGAATATATCCCATAGAACAGTCACTCCTCTTATTGAATATAATTGTATATCCATATGTTTCAGAACATTACAATAAGATTTATTTGCAACAAAATATGTTTGAACTGAATGTGTACTACTATGATGAAAGTTTAGTTTATAATTGTTATTGTTGAAATGTAAAATGAATGATGTATACAGATAATAAACTTCAAATAATGGCAGTAAATAAATCGCTGTGCCATGGATTTGACTCAGATTAAGAGGAGGCACAGATAGGTTTTTGAGATCTACCATTCAATTGGTATTGGATGGCATAATTCTTATCTCGTTATCAAATCGCGAGATTGAGGAAAAATTACCGCACAGGAAAGTGCCGTTCAATGAAATACAATGTTTTTACATGCCGTTGGAACATATAATATTTCTTTATCAGATATCAGATGAAAGTTGAAATTTGCAGCCGGCTCTCCCTATTTAATATTCATAACTGACGTTTTGTGTCCATAAATCATGACGATTCGTGTATCCTTAATCTCAAAAAAGCATTAAAAGACAGATCTAGATATTATTATTAATATAGTATGCTGATATGTGTTATATTAAAAATGAATAAATAAATAAATGATAGTAGATTGTTTTATTGGGATCAAAAGTGACACTTTGTTTGGCAAGCGAATTTTGCATTTGCGAGGCGGAGCGTTCAGCGAAAATGGACGACTTTTGTGTCGGTTGCTGAAAAAATAATTCAAACCATGTTCAGATTCTTCATTCTGAGATAATAAAATACTGTCGACCATATTATTACACACCTGTGTCCCGCTGCTGCTGCTGCGCGCTATCGTCGGATTGAGGATGCGCTGGTGCACCATGCGCGGCGTGGTGCTCAACACGCTGCGCCGCACCACCTGTTGCCCGGTGAGCGCCTTGTTGAGGATCGAAGAAGAGGTGGTTTTCTTCTGGGCCATGGGCATGCGCACGATCGTTCTGGTGGGCGAGGCAGACACGATTTTCCGTATCGGCTCGGCTCTGATCGGGATCTTCACCTGAACGATTGGAAAAGAGGCGTTTGTAGGTTACGATTTTCTGAGAATCCTCTCATGGAAAAAATTCGAGTAGTAGGTTTTTATTGTGGCTAAATAATATTTTTTGGGGGTGCTGAACCAGAATCTGATGTTTCCTGGAGCGTTCCCAGAGATTTTGATTTTCTGACAATCCTCTCATGGAAAAATTCTAGTAGGTTTTTTTGTACTTTGATATGTTTTGGGGGTGCTGAATCTGATTCTGAAGTTTGCAAACAAAATTTCCTGGAACGTTCCAACAGATAAGCAAAAAAAAACAGTGACATTTTTGCAATTTGAACAGTTTTTTATCCGTAACTCGGACACTATACACTTTATCGAAAAGTCGACCTTTCAGAAAGTTGGAGTAAATTAAATTTTCTACACAGGGTGACAATTTTCAAACAAACAGCATTCAAAATTCCTTCAACTGATATGAAATTTTGGTGAAACATGTCAATTCATACAGTATGTATCTGAATAATACTGAAAGAATTCAAGGAGTGATTCCTTGAGATATCCTAGCAAATAGAGTATCTATCGCTATTAGGTCTATTCATCCGAACAAAAAAACTTTCAGAAAATCAAATGCTTTAGCCACAATGCTTCGTGTCGAAAAACGTGAATAACCCTGTACATTCAGTATTAAAATTGTGCCAAATGAAGCTATTCAAACTTTAGTAACTGCCATATTTATGATCAATTAGTTCTCATTAATTTTTTCTTTGAGTAAAGAACCGGAAATTGATTACATTATACCACTAGTGCGGTAAAGAATCCGATCACATTACATATTGGTAGTAGGTAAAGTGAATCTTCCGCACGATTTTATCGATTTATCGTGCGGGAAAGTAAAACCGTACGAAGTACAACTTTCAAAACGAAAAATCGTAGGAAAACCACTCACCTTCTCCTGCACCACCATCTCCTCCTCCTCCTCCCGCGTCGGAGGCGGCATCACCTCCGCCTCCGTCGGCTCGTTCTTGAGATCCTCCTCGGTGATGTCGGCCGCCGCCAGCTTGACGATGTTGTCCAGACTGGTGTCCGACTTGGCCTCCTCCATCGGCTCCGGTTCAGGCTCCGGGTCCGGGTACTCCTGGCCGGCTATCTTGCCGGTGGACGGGTCCAGGAAGAAGTCGTCTTAAATAACGATAATAATTATTTTTTTCTACTCACATAACTAAAATGGTATTTAGCGTACGGATATATGCCACGCTAAATGATCGATTAATCACGGATTGTCGATCTGTGATTTATTCGAAATATTAAACACATTACCATGGCAACACGATTTCTTAAACACATTACCATGGCAACGCAGTTCATTAAACACAGCTTCGGTAATTTGAGACATGTCTGGCCTGTCATATGTATTAAATGTCAACTGTTGTTTTCAAATTTTGTATCAGAATTATTCAAACAATATTCGTTTGTATCAGAATTCTTCATTAAAAATATATGCGAAAAGTAGACGAAAGTGAAATCGAAGAGAATGTTCTGGTACTTGCATATCTCCAAGAAGTGTGAAAATGAAGCATCCATCTTTGAGAACAATTTATTTATTCTGCGCTAAGCATGAAAATAAACGTGAAACAAAGGTTAGTAAGCAACGGACTGGACACATCTACAACCAATATCACTTATACGTGTCTCGCTGGTTGCATGCAGTTGCATGTTTTATGTTCTCAATTCCCATTCCTTTCGAATTGATTTGTAGGTTAGCAGGAATTGCAGGTATGTTAATGTAATTTTCGGAGTTCGTAGAAAAATCATAGTATGTAACGCGTTTATAAACTCTTCTAGACACTCGTTTATTAAACACTCGCTCCGCTCGTGCTTAAAATACTCGTTACTAAAAGGACGTTTATAACACTTGTTATATAATATACTATTTCTACTCACATAACTAAAATAGCGTACGGATATGTACCACGCTAAATGATCGGTTAATCACGGATTGTCGATCTGTGATTTATTCAAAATATTAAACACATTACCATGGCAACACGATTTCTTAAACACATTACCATGGCAACGCAGTTCATTAAACACAGCTTCGTGATTTGAGACATGTCTGGCCTGTCAATTGTATTAACTGTCAACTGTTATTTTCGAATTTTGTATCAGAATTATTCGAACAATATTCGTTTGCATCAGAATTCATCATTAAAAATATATGCGAAAAGTAGACGAAAGTGAAATCGAAGAGAATGTTCTGGTACTTGCATATCTCCAAGAAGTATAAAAATGAAGCATCCATCTTTCAGAACAATTTATTCTGCGCTGAGCATGACAATAAACGTGAAACAAAGGTTAGTAAGCAATGGACTGGACACATCTACACCCAATATCACTTATACGTGTCTCGCTGGTTGCATGCAGTTGCATGTATTATGTTCTCAATTCCCATTCCTATCGAATTATTTTGTAGGTTAGCAGGAATTGCAGGTATGTTAATGTAATTTCCGGAGTTCGTAGAAAAATCATAGTATGTAACGCGTTTATAAACTCTTCTAGACACTCGTTATTAAACACTCGCTCCGCTCTGCTCCGCTCGTGCTTAAACTACTCGTTACTAAAAGGACGTACGTTTATAACACTTGTTACATAATATACTATTAATTTGTCTTCATTGTATTAGCACTGCTCGGTATAGGGTTGACAGAACAGTATCAGTCTCTCTGAAACTTTCCACATTTATTAACACTCAACACAATGTATTCTCTACAACGCTTCAGATAAGAATGAATCAACCTTATGCCTCTTGATCGGATACAGTCATTTGTAGATAGGTGACTAAACCTTATGTAACCACTAACTGTAGCTCTGTGCTCCTAATGGTACAGGGCGTCAGGCATCTGGCTAGTCGCTAACAATTGTTATCGATACAATAGGTGAAAACACAAATAATGCGTGGTGAAAACACAAATAATGCGTGGTGAAAACACAAATAATGCGTGGATTCGAATTAAATGTGCATATAATAATTGAAATATAGCAGTTTTAGAATCGACCCACCTGTGAACTGTTGAGATAATTTGATATTAGTTTGATTGATTGATTGTTTATTTATTTATTTATTTATTTACTCTACTTAGTTCACAGAATGAATCCATTTAGAACAATCCAATTACAAACTAAGATATATATGACAATACTAAAGTAGCATGCATAGTGTTATATGAGTATGTAAGTTTACTACTGCCGGATACAAAAGAAGAACGATCTAATTTGCTGAATCGATGTATGACGAATGTCGATTTTTGCACAATGGTCATTATAATTCCTACAAATCCTTTGTAATGGTGAATTTTTACAAACATTTGTGCGTGGGGTAGGCAAGTAAAAGATTTGATCTGTTCGGGACGCAATTCTTAGAACGTGAAACTGGAGTTAATATGTCAAATAATGGTAGTCGCATAGGTTATTAATTGTTTTTGAAAGAATAACATCAGAATGATACTCTCTTCGAATTTTCAGACTGTTGAATGAATGTCTCTCAAGTAATGTTCTGTGTGAAATGTCAATTTCAGGATATTCGCCATCGATTCTGAAAGACAGTCATTTTAAAACACGCCGATGAATTGATTCGAGGCTGTCGATATGAGTAATATTATGAGGACTCCAAATTATCGAAGCATATTCCAGTTCCGATCAAACAAATGCATAATACAGGCTCTTGAGAGTCGCGATGTCTCTAAAATTTCTAGAATACCGAACAATACAGCCATAAGAGTTGCTGGCAGCTGACAAAATTCGCTCGATATGAGGTACAAATGAGAATTTTGGATCAAATACCACCCCCAGATCTTTATTACCCCAAGAAACATAGTTGTTTATAATAGGGATACATAAACAATATATGTTGGGGAGTTTTTCCCGCTGCCAATAGTGGACTGAATGATATGGCGCGGGTATTCGGCCATTATTACGTATTGAAAATTTCAGAAAAATCACTCGACCGCCTACTATGATTTCTCCACGTCACAACGAGCGAGACGTTGATTCTACATTTTCCCGCTAGAATGCTGCTATTGCTGCTGTGACGAGTGGAAATAAAATGGCAAATGGCATTTTAGGTACGCGGAACATATGTAACAGTGGGATTATTCAACTCTGAATTCGAAAAATCTGCGACAATTTCAAAACTGACAGATTTCATAATTGTGCAATGTCGCCATCTATTAGAAGATCGACGGAACCATTGCTCTCGCTGTTCTCGAGAGGTCGAGTAAAATTTCTGAAATAAAAGCGCATCAGCAATTACACCATATCTTACTTCCATCATTGTGGACTGTAATTCTTTATCAATGATTTAATGAAAACCAAGATACTTCCATTCCAAAATGATTCATTCAGTGTTATTACAAAGACTGTCAAGCAGAGCTTGCAGTGCGATATGATACAACAGTTTACGTTTTTACACTGAGATGACTTGAGGCTAGACTCAGACTGTTTTCCGTTTTGTTGTCTCTGTTAATAAAATAGGTGGGGAAGGCGGCGTTGCCAGCTCTTACTAATTGTTCGTAGATCTATAATTTTCAACAATATACATAATGTGTAAGGCCAATACTTTCTATTTCAACCCTTCTATTAACGTGTCTTAGTATATATAAAATATGAGAAGGCAAATTAGTCGTATCATTTCCATCTAGAATTAATCCTATAAAATGTTCTATCAAATGGGTAGTAGTTGTATCATCAATAATTTTGTTGCTGTCTATTTTCTTGTTTGTAACACTGCCGAATTCTTATATAATAATCAAGTGGCGCCCTTAAGAAGACTACGAATTAATCTACGAACCATGAATGCTCCTGACGAAAAGCTGCCGTGGTAATTTTGCACTTATCATGCGATGGGTTTTTTTTCGAAAATTTTTTTTGGTACTTACGTATTTTTGTCTGAAAAACACGAATTTGATATTGAAAATGTGAACAAACCACTATTTATCGAGATATTTCAAGAAAAAGTTCGAAATTTTGCCTTATTTTCCCCCTTGTGTTGGATGCATTTACAGGTACTTGCTCTTTTTATTTTGTCATTTGACACTTCATATACTCATGATGTACTTCAATGACACATTTTAAGCTAGAAAATTCAACAGGAAATATGATTTTTATGGTGAGTTTTTTTCTATTTAGTGAGCAAGCATACCAGATGACCGCCATTTAATCGATGGGTAATCCAAATAGGAGATGTCAAATGTCAATAGATTGCTTTGGAATGACATCACACACGCCATTATTTCAAATGATATTCTTCCTTATTTTCACTAAACATGGATAAATCACAAGAAAATCATATTTCTAGTTGACTCATATAATAAAAAATAAGTCAACACTGTGTGATATATATAATGTGTCCAATGATGGAAAAAGAAGGGCAAATTGTTCTAAATGCGCCCCAAAGTCAGGCGGAAAAGAAGGTGAAATTTGTAACTTTATAGTGAAATATCAATATCTCAATAAATAATGGTTTGTTCACATTTTCATTATCAAATACATAAGTACCAAAAAAAAATTTTGAAAAAAAAACCATCGCATGATAAGTGCAAAATTACCGCTGCCGTAAATAGTGAATATATTTTCTTACTTTCGAGTCAGGAGAAAATTAAAGTTACAATATTCTCCGGCAATATTTTGGGATTTTCGATTTCATTGACCAACTTGTGAGACTGAAAATGTTTAGAAAAATAATTGAGGAATTCTAGTACCTTCGGTGGGGTCCGGCTCAGGGATTTTTATTTCTTCGGGAAAAGGCAGCTCCTCGAGCCCGTCGTCGGATTCCTCGTCGGTGCGTTTGGATGGGGATTCGTGGATCAGTTGGGCGGGCTTTCTGGCTTCTTCTTTCATCTGTTGAAATAACAATCGGGCAATCGGTAAAAGTGGAATAAGCACTACTTCATTATCAACGGAATAAATATACAGGCTGATTCACGGTGGATGGCACATTAGACGTTTCTGGTGAACCAGACAACGGATCATTTTGAAAATTCAATGGAGAGCATATTCGGACATTCTCTAGCCAACTAAAATATTTTCGACAATGCGGTGTTGCCGCTTCAATTAGAAAGCAGTAGCAACTTTGATTTTTCAAATGGAACACTCTGTATTTTATTGCATTTTTAGATTCTCCCTGAAGAGCTGATTTCATCGATGTATCACACTCAGGGTCTAGCGGAAATGATTACAGAGATATAGGGTGTGAAAAATCGACATTTTTCAACTTTAGGATTCTTTTGTGTCGAAACTATTCATCATTGGTCGAAACGGCTTACATGTCCCTATCTCAACTTCTGATTAACTATCTACTGATATTTAATTGGGACATATACCGGGTGATCAAGATTCTGAATTCTGCACCACCCTGTATTTGTTTCAATTAAATGTCAGTCGATAATTGATCAAAAGTTGAGATAGGGACATGTGAGCCGTTTTGACCAATAATGAATAGTTTCGACAAAAAAAATTCCTAAAGTTGAAAAATTTCGATTTTTCACACCCTATATCTCTGTAATCATTTCCGCTAGACTCCAAGTGTGATACATCGATGAAATCTGCTCTTCAGGGAGAATCTAAAAATGCAATAAAATACAGAGTGTTCCATTTGAGAAATCAAAGTTGCTACTGCTTTCTAATAGAAGCGGCAACACCGCATTATCGAAAATATTTTAGTTGGTTAGAGAATGTCCGAATATGCCCTCCATTAAGTTTTCAATATGATCCGTTGTCTGGTTCACCAGAAATGTCTAATGTGCCATCCACCGTGAATCAGCCTGTATGACAGATGATTTTTCATATGATCAATCGTTTGCGAGTTTTATTGTCATGGCAAACAATCGAGCGCCAGCTTGATCCAGCGATTTTTTTCTACTTTCGTTGATTCGAATTTTTTCATCAAATCATAGATACGATTGTTTATTTGACTATAATATACAGGATGTACCTGAAAGGTCTTTATAGAAACTCACCACATATTCCGCAGACCAAAACAATTTGACACAAGCAAAGTTAGTTTGGGCGCGCTAGACGGCTCTGAAACTTTGATACGGCTCATGATATTCATTCATTGGGAGACAAAACCCATATGATGGAGGCCGTAGCCAGGGGGGGGTCAAGGGGGATTGATCCCCTCCGAAATGATGTCGATTTAATCAATAAGACTTGAAGATGTTCGCCAAAATATTGATTCAAAATTCGCTGAACTTTTCAATAATGCACAGAATTTGCTCAGTAATGTAAACGAGAAAATTAAAATTCTGCGAATAGCGTCACGCCAAGAGCATAGGGCAAATTACAACACAAAAGATCCTGAAACTTGAATTACTATAATGATTCCACTTTTGGATGATTTCAAAGATCAGCTTCAGTCAAGATTCCAAAATCATAAAGTCACATTATCATCTCACAACATTTCGATTCCGCCTGTGTGTTGCAAAGAACAAATTATTCGTAATTATCAAGAAAACTACTTTGAACTCTATAAAAAATACTTGGAATGGGTCTTTGTGAAAGCTGAATTAGACATGTGGCGGAATAAATGGCTGGAAGAATCTGAATTAGATCCACCAACATGATTGTGCTATTGAAGCTCTCGGAGAATGCAACCAGAGGCCTTGTTTCCATACATTCACAAACTTTTAAAGAGCTTGGCGACACTGTTTTGAAATGTACCCCTGAGAGTACTTTCTCTTCTCTGAAACCCCTCAGAACTTATTCAAGAAATTCCACAGGCCAGGAAAGACTAAACGGTTTGGCGTGAATGTCAATCCACCGAAAGAATTGACATCGACACCGAGGAGGTAATTGATTTGTTGGCTGCAAAAAAAGCTAGAAGACTAAATTTAATTTCGTAACAAGATGTTAATAATTCTGTAATACTTTCCTAGTGAATATTGTATATATGATAAGTAACACTATTTTATTTCTTTTACTGAAACAATTCTTTGATTTTCTACTGTACTACCATACCAAATCAGCCCCCCCCCCAAATGGTTTTCTGGATAGGGCCTTGCATATGATGGTCGTAGAACTGGATTTTTTCAATAAATTAACATATGCCAAAGGAAACAGAACAATGTTTGTCATGTCAAAAATCAGAATATGCTGTAGTTATTAGTTAAATGACAGATGAGTGACTGGTGCAATTAAAATAGTTCAATAAACGTTTGTTGTTTGCATTAGAGTTCCTAAATGTACTTGACACTGCTGTTTTGACGTTTTTTGTATATTAGAGTAGGGACACTAGACAAGCAGTGACAATCAAACATAACCACAAAGGATTATGAAGCAAATCATATGTTTTGCTAGACAAGGACAAGAATATGTTTTTCGCTTGGATAAAGGATCCTCGCATCTTTCTTCCTTCACAAGTCCTGGGAAGAGTACATCCATATATCTTTCTGTCTTTAATTTTGTATGAGAGTGCATAGCGTCTCCTTGAGTGGGTAAACGGGTACGATAAATTGATTAGAAAATTATTTCTTGTCGAAATATTGAATGATAAGGCTGAAGGACCTCAATGGAGGTCGATATCAAGTTGGTATGTACTTATATACCAACGAAATACATATACTATTCCTATGAAATAAGTTTGCTATATGTTGGTATATATATGTACATATACGTTCAGTTGAATATATTTTTATCACAAAAGTTCAGAATGGGGTAAGAACTGATAAATTTCAACCAATGAAACATACTTTTATTTCGTATGGAACAATTTCACTTGTACAAGGGTGGTAGGTGATGAGTAATTAATAAATAAACAAATGATATGGCAACTATAACAGCTGATTTCAGTTACAGTAAATAATAAAGGTTCTCCAAGACATACGAAAGTAGGTATAAATGGACTTCAGCGCTCGACTCAATACCTAACATAAATGGTGCACTTGTTAAGCTTTCTTGTTCTGTTCTCTGATAATATCTTGCTCGTATCTTGGTACCCAAGGAGTGGTTCAAAATCCACTGGGAACTTAGAAGAAGATGTAATGACATATGGTATCTTGGTTTGGGGCCACTCCCCTCTTGTGTCTAGACTTTTTGGGTTACAGAGGCGAGCTATTCGAATCATGGCGGGTCTGAGTTTCAGGGGGGACTGCAGACAAGCATTTAAACATTTCAATATACTCACCTTACCATCTCATTACATACTAGAAAATCTGATGTATGTGAAGGACAATGAGGATAAATTCAGAGTGCATAGTGGGGTCCACAACTATGATACAAGACAAAAAAACTTGCTCATCCCAGCTTATCATAGGTTGAAAAGGTGTCAAGATGGCCCAGGCTATCTATCCATAAAATTTTTCAATACTCTACCAGATTCCATAAAGAACTTGGAACGAGATAAATTTAAGAATAAAGTTAAGCAGATTTTGTATCTAAATTGCTTTTACTCATATGATGAATTCCTCACACACAAATTTTAATAATTGTTTCTAATATTTTCTAATATTTTCTGTTTATAATCAAATGTTTTAGTCTAATTTTAATTATACTATATAATTGGATTGTAGCTCCACTATATTGTGCCTAAAGTCAAACTTGCATTGTGCTCATAATTTTGACAAATATTGAAGATTTTAATTCCCTGTTTTTACAAATGTATGCTAACCTGATTACTATAGTTTCCTACTGTTTTGACGAGTGTAAATACCTATGTATGATGACATGAAATATATTGAGTATTGAGTAAGCCATACACGAACAATATATTCAACTCTTTGATATACATCTGGAACATACGAACAATATATTCAACTCTTTGATATACATCTGGTACATCAGAGTTCCACAAAGTGACTAAATGTTTTCACAAAATTATTATAGGAGTTCGTATACGAAGATGATCTAAAGAATTCTTGGTTGAAACAGGAATGTGAAATCTGTTCGAAGAGTCAGTCAATTCAGGAAGTTGCTGCTGTTTCATCATCAGATGATCGACCATGATCTCCATATGGTGGCTATTGTGATCTCTGCTCCATCATTCCATCACAAGCAATAACTAGAGAAATTAATTTCATTACCTGCAAGCTTTTTGTTTCTTCTTGGTTCTAAACTGGAATAAGGATCTTTTCGATACTCGCTCAGTTTATAAATTGTGGGTTCGGCACTTTCTCTCAATACGATCCTATTCTTCAACATCAAATCTTCCGTTCTGAAGTGTACCTGATAAAAATGCGTTGAAAATATTCTATATCCTTTTAAGAAATTTGAATACCTCGCAAACTTTGTGGCCTAAACCTATATTCCATGCCGGCCGCATAATATATTATTCTGTTTCCATTTTTGTAGAATGGAAATTCGAATAGATTGAATTGATTTCCCGTGTTCTCACAGTTGGAAACAGCACAAACTTGCATCTTTCTCCTATTTGTCTCAATTTGTCAAACCTTTGAAATTCATGTCATGTACGCCCATGTCCTGTCAGTTCCCGCTATTTCCATCAATTTATTTGTGGTCATGTCTGATTGTCAGTGCTTGTCATAGTGTCCGTACTCTGATATACAAAGAACGTCAAAACAGCAGTGTCAAGTACATTAAGGAACTCTAGTTTGTATGAACACAGAAAAATGAATGAATAATCCACCTACCCTGGCCCCCCTCGGCGTCGCCTTCCCAGCCACCTCCACGATCCTCTTAGCCCCAACCACCGCCCCCGAGGACGCCCCTCCTCCCGCCGCCGCCGCCTCCCCGCTCTTCACCGCGTACATCGGCTTCCGCACCTCCTGCGACTTCCTCAGGAACTCGGCGCTCCGCTTCAGCGTATCGCCGGCCTTCTTGATCGCCGACCGCACGTCGATCGGCGTCTGCAGCTTCTTCGGCCTGCCCGTCGCCGGACTGACCGGCGCCGGCTTGTTGACGCTTTGCGGCGACATCTGCACGATTTGTTTGGCGGTGGAGCCGTCCTTTTTGACGATTTTTATTTGCGTTTGGCCGATCTTCGGGGCGACTTTGACGATGGTCTGGCCGCCGCTGGTGGCTACCTAGCGGGAGAACAAGCTATGTTAGCGGAATAGCCCTAATCGGGAATTTTTTTCGAAGCATCCAGCACTTTTTATAGGACAAAAATTGTTCTTGGAGAAATTTCCTGAATTTTTAGTATGTTGTAGTATTCAATCAATTGGGTTTTCAAGAAAATAGTGGCACAAAAGTGTGCGATGACATAGGTAAAAACATTTCAGTGATGTCTAAAAATTCCATACAATTAAATATAGAGAAAACTATTTTGGCATGCAATACTATTCTTATCCAATCATAAATCATAATTCAAACATTTTATACAGGGTGCTTTAAAAAATTGGTGACACTTCCTGTATATTCAAGTGAATTGTTTTTCTTCAATGATAGCTGTTACCATTTAAACATGCTATTGTCGAGAGTGATTTTTGATGATAAAAATGACAAAATATCAATTGTGAAAATCATTCTGTAATTCATGACCAATTCAGTGGAATCTTTCAACTATTATGTAATATATTCATTTTCTCCTCAAAAGTGTCCCAAGAGAATTCAGTTTCCAGTATGACTGGTTTCATAGTTATAAATGAATAAATAATAAAAAAACTCTCGATTTACTAGTTAGGGTACAAACACACTAAAGAGGTTGTCGTCATGTTTGGCGTCGCCGCGCGATAAATTTGGGAATTCTTTCCGCTACCAACCGCCACGATTTTACTGGTTGTGAAAGGTATTTGAATATTTCAATACCCATTCTTGGATTATTGGCAGAAAATGAAGTATGGTATAGGCCCAACCCTTTTCGTTATCTATTTGTTGGATGTATGTACAGCAGAGTTTCTGATACCTTAGCACCCTGACGCCAAAAGTAATCTTTTACGGCATAAAGCTAAAATGCAATTGAATTTTGAATATTTATCAGTGCATGTGCGTACTGATTGTCTGTTTTAGAAGTTGTTTCTTTTATTTGCTCCATAATCGGACAAAAAAGATTCACTCATTCAGCCTTAACTGAATTCAACAAACTACCTGACAATATAAAAAATTGCAGAAATATAGGTACATTCAAAAATGAAGTGAAAAAATTGATTATTTCTGAGCGAACTGGATAAAATTGAACATGCCATCTTTTTTTTTCACAAATATTATTCTTTGTTTGTCAATTTACAGTTGTTGATATATTTTGTATAATGATATGTTTACCTATAGGTATATAATTATGTACTTCCTTATACCAGAGCCTATTCTGTCTGGAAGTTATTTGTTCAATAAATAAATAAATAAAATAAATAAATTCTAGTTCAATGAGATATGTCAAAATAGTGCATGAATGTGTGATGTGTTGTCTTTAATTTTGCGTCTCATGATCGATATGTTAGGATACCAGAAACTGATCGCCACTGTCTGACAACATTGTCACTACCGACTGAAACCTCATAGAAAATCGCAAGTAATCTCTCTTCAGTATTAGGCCAGTCATTGGGGATTTTTACCTGGAAATAAGTCCGAAAGTTTTGAAACATTGTAGGTTTATAGGTTTGAGGATCGAGAACTAAAATTCACAAAATGCACATTCCGAGACATGCCACCATCTTGCCAAGATGGCATCCCAAAACGGTTTTTTGCAAATATCTCCAAAACTGAGCGTTTTCAGAAAAAATATGTTGAGACAAAAATCGAAGAGGAAAAAATTTCCTACAAGAAATGTTCCTAATACATTTTTACTTAAGTGAGCCCTTTAGGCTCAAGAGCTGATAGAATGACAACATATTCTGTTGTAGCCCTGAAAATGCAGGGTCTTCTGACCGAAACCACAAATGTACGGCTGGCTTCTTGTTTGCTGACTCCGTTGATTTGTTGTTTCGTCTTTCACCAAGTGTTGCCTATCTTTTGCACTTCTTTCACCGTACTGATGAGGGCCAAAAGCCCGAAACCTGTGTCTACGTATATCGAAGACTGGAACCTTTGGCACGATAATACACTACACAGTTTTACCACTAACCAAACCGATTTTTTAACGCCTCGACACGTGTTTCGCTAACTATGTTAGCATCTTCAGGAGAAGATTAAAACTGTGTCTACGGTTAACTCATCCTGAGGGCAACGTCCAAAAATCTTTCACTAGTTTCCTCAATATTCCTTCCATCATAATTATATGGAGAAAATTAGGGGACAGTTTATAGAAATTAACAGAATTTTTTGTTATTCAATCTGCTCTCGAGCCTAAACGGCTCACTTTAGCAAAAATATGCTAGGAACATTTCTTGTAGGAAATTTCTTCCTCTTCATTTTTTTCTACCAGCAATTTTTTTCGGAAAACGCACAGTTTTGGACATAAATGAAAAAATCTATTTTTGGGTGCCTTCTTGACAAGATGGCGGCACCGGCGGCATGTCTCGGAATGTGCATTTTGTGAATGTTAGTTCTGGACATCCAAACCTACGAACCTGGAAAGTTTCAAAACTTCCGGACTCATATACAGGCAAGCTTTATTTTTGATCCCCAATGACTGAACCACCTCTCATCACGTCGCCAACCTCGTCGCTTGTCTCTCCAGGGGCCCGATTCTCGAATCTGTAGGAATTCGATCCTATAGGAGAATGATCCAATGCTTTCAGTTCTCAAAGGAAATGATAATTTGTCACGACACCTATTCTTGAACCAGATGGAATCGTTTTTCCCAGGGGATTGAAAAAGTGCCGTATGTCGCAGATAGATTCTTGAGCTCACATGAATTCACTAATGAAATGAGTGCAATTCATTTTGGTAACTGGTGAATGATTGAAATGAAATGTTGACATTTCAATTTTGACTAATTTTGAGTTTATATTATAATATAATTTTGCGACGGTGAGATTATTGTGTATTGTATATTTACCATATTTCCTCTGATCGAAAGGGATGTGGATACAAACAATATTAAAAAACCACCAGGTATTAGCAAAAAGCATAAAAAACTTTCAATAGGAATAATAGTCCTCTGAGGACTTGAGGAATGGATAATTTCACCCCCAATTCACTTATGAGAATTCTAAAGTACCTGTCAATTCTTTAGTAATGTCTTTGAACAAACGAAAAACTTTAATGAATTGTGCAGCAGACAATCACTCAAATAGGTCCCTTCTAGACAAAAACCTTCTTCTTGGTCTTCTACCAAGGATTTCAGCCACTTCCAAATTTTGTAAAGCCTCTAGATGAGTTATTTCATCTATGTTTGTTAAGTTTTTGTAATACATGTGTTTTTCCGATTTTTCACTAGGGTTCAGTGCACATCACAAATGAGAATAACTTCTAATTTCATGAGTGTATCCTATAGGAAGCATGTTGTTCCCAGAGATATTACCATGGGAAGCAGTTCTCTTGAAATGTGTAGGAATAGTTTCCATGGGAAATATCGAGTGTTTCCCATGGGAACGAATTTCAACGGATTTGAGAATTGGGCCCCAGTATGTTTGTACCCTTACTCTGAGGATTCCATCCTTCTTCACAACATTACCGCATCTACTAACCTTGGAGGTGTCCGAGTCCAGCTTTATGATGCCAGCCGTCTTCGACATGATGTATACGCCTGCGCTCAAAGAGGGCAGTTGTTTCTGGTTGATGCGCACCACGCCGTTCGCGTCAGGAATGAGGACGTTCGGCGGTAGGGCGCCCACTTGGCCGAGACCGTTCTTCGAAAACAATAGTTATTTAATATACAAATACAAGGGAAAAGTAGTAGATTTTAGCTCGAGGTTGTGTTGTCTCCCGAAAACTTCATATCAATTGAATTTTCCATAAGAACTAATCAGATAATTGATTTTTAATAGGAATGAAAACAAACACCTTTTTCAAAAATTGCGATAAACCGTTGATTTTAGGACATAGAACGTTCCTAAAATCCATGATTAAGACTTCAGGGCCGTATTTGAAAAAAACAAAATTGATCAAGTCAGCTCGAAGATGAAACGTCGGCTAAATGAACTGGGCAGTCAGAACAGACTGACTCTAGCATGGGTACCAGCACATACAGGGTACGAGGGCAATGAAGAGGCAGACTCACTTGCCCGAGCAGGAGCAAACAAAGCTCTGAATGGCCCAGAACCCTTCTGTGGTATTGCGAAAGCTATACAAAAAACTAGTATCAAGTCATGGATGCAAACCAAATCTCAAGAATGGTGGAACAACTCGCCAGGAATGAGACAGGCAAAAGAGTTTATTAAAAAACCATCGCCAACATTCACAGAATATCTACTGAGCCAGAAACGAAGTTCAACTAGAATACTAGTGGGACTTCTCACAGGGCATTGTAGGCTCAACAAACACATGAGTACGATAGGTCTGACTGAAGAGCTGCTCTGCAGGTTCTGTCAGGAGGAGGAGGAAACAGCAGTACACATACTTTGCCACTGTGAGTGCATGTCAAAACTAAGGTTCCTTACGCTGATTGAGGAAAAACCAGGAGCCCAAAGATACACAGGGGATCTGAAAGCTAGCCTATGGAGTCTCATAGAGATGGCGGGGCTAGCCGAAGAAATCTAATCGATTTTGAGGGCAGACACAATAGATCTGAAAAGGTCGCGGTGTGGAGGCAGATAGTCCGAAGGCCACATTCTAAATCTAATAATAATAGTAATAATAATAATAATAATAAGTAAGTTTATTAACCACTGTGCAATAAAACAACAATAATAAAAATAACTAGATTATCTACAAGAAATATACAAATCTTCAGATTCACACTCGGTAAACAAACTTCAAAAACCCACAACGGCAAACCTTGAATGTGGATAATGGAGCATGAAGCATAGCATTGAAAAAAAAAGCCAATATAATAGTGAATAAATACAATAAACTTATAATAAGGACCTATAGAAATATGCTACTCACAGCATGGTTAGTTTACATAATGCAATAAATATAATGCAATATATGTATATATGTATATATATTTATAAATAAAATCAATAACATGGTATATGTTTTTGCAAATATAACTCAATATCACGAGAGTAAGGGAATATATACTGTCAAATCGTGCATAAGTTGTTTTTTATGTTGATTAATTGATGAATTCTTGCTCTTGGTGTATTTTGAATCCATTCTTCAAGATTTCAGCGAGGACAGGACAAAGATAAGTAAAACATCTTTGAGAGACCGTTTTTCTGGTTTTGGGAATAAGTGTTGATTTTGATTTATACCGGGTATCATGTCTATGTGAAATTTGTTGAGCCTTATGTTTGAATTTGTGATGTCTTATCATTAAGGACTGAAAGTAAAGTTGTCTAATATCTAAGACTTGCACTTCTTCAAAAAGTTGTTTGCTAGGGTGTCTGTATGATTTTTTGAAAATTATTTTCTTCCAATTTCTTCAGATGATTATTTTTTATTCCTCCCCACGTGAGTATACCATAAGTGATGTGTGTTTGTACTAGAGAGAAATAATATAGTATTTTCAGAGATCTCATATCAAATATTTTTCTGTAAAATCTGAATCTGTGTAGCAGTCCTCTAAGCTTTTTTGTCGCGAATGCAGCATGATAATCCCCATCTCTCAAATTCAGGCATTGTATTTGCTGTGCTACAAGAGGGAACTATCACGTTTTTTTTTTATTTGACGCTGAGTAACATAGAATTGAACCAATATATTACCTTAATGAAATCATATTCCACTATAGTTTTCAACTCTTTCCAAGAGGAATTTTTGTAGAAGATAACCGTATCGTCAGCAAAGCTGACAATTTCGCCTTGAATCTCGAGACTAAACAATTGATTGAGGTATATGTTGAAGAGAAGTGGACCTAGTACTGTACCTTGAGGTACTCCAATTTTACTATGTATTCACTACTCAATGAATCTCCAATTCTCACCGACTATTTCCTGTTCGACAAATAGCTCGATAGTAATTCAAATTCTTTACCTCGAATTCTCCAGTAGTCGTAGCAATTTTTCATGAGAAACAGTGTCAAACGCTTTTGCCAGATCAACGAAGATACATAAGGATCGATTACCTTCATCCATTGCTTGATATATTTTTGAAATCATGTGTGCCATTGCATCTTCGGTTGATCTGGCTTCTCTGAATCCATACTGGTTTTCGAACAAGATATTATATCTTTCAAGGTAGGAAGTTATTTGTCTTTTCATAATTTTTTCGAATATTTTTCCGATATTGGTTATTAGGGAAATAGGTCTATAGTTGATGAGTTCTAGTTTATCACCACTTTTGAAAATTGGTTTTATATGGGCTTTTTTCAGTGTTTCTGAAAATGTACCTATAATGATTGATCTATTTACCATATACGCCAAGGGTTTTTTAATAAATTGAACATTGCCTAATAGAACTTCCTGGTCCTGTCCTGGTGTTTTACCTTTCTTTAAGGTCTCAATCACTTGTTCAATCTCGATCTTATTAGTTTCCTCTACAAAAATAGAATTGGGCATTCTCGGTACGTTATACCGGGTGGCCACGGAAGTATTGCCTACGGAATATCTCAGTTATTGTATGAAGTAGGTTTGTGAAATTTGGAGCGTCGATATAATGACATAAGAGCTAGAATTTGAGCATATTGACAAGTCGAAGTTAACTTCCGGTCTGACCGGAAGTAACATCAACTTTCTTATTTTGAATGGAAACTTTTTTTTTCTTTTCGCTTTATTCAGCATTCAATTCCCTTTCTAATGACATATCACAAGTTGGTATCTAACCAGAAACTAGATCAGAAAAAAATTATTATTGAAATTCACCGAGTAGGCCATGGAAGCAAAATGAAAGCCAAAAATTGAAAAGTTGTCTATGGAAACCATACGTCACTTGATAACAGTTGCTACTACTGTGATATTTTATTTTCATTCGTCGGCGTTATAAAAAGCCGCCAAAAAAAATATTGAAAAAATTGGTAAAAAAACAATACTCTGTAGGTCCATAACTTAAATAGGAACATACAACTTTTTCTTGCCTGTACTATTCAGCATAACCATTCCTTTCTAATGATATAATAGAAAGTCATTTTTTGACTTTCATTTTGCTTCCACGGCCTACTCGGTGAATTTCAATAATAATTTTTTTCTGATCTAGTTTCTGGTTAGATACCAACTTGTGATATGTCATTAGAAAAGGAATTGAATGCTGAATAAAGCGAAAAGAAGAAAAAATAGGGTTTCCATTTAAAATAAGAAAGTTGATGTTACTTCCGGTCAGACCGGAAGTTAACTTCGACATGTCAATATGCTCAAATTCTAGCTCTTATGTCATTATATCGACGCTCCAAATTTCACAAACCTACTTCATACAATAACTGAGATATTCCGTAGGCAATACTTCCGTAGCCACCCGGTATATTATATCAGGATCAACCTCAATTCCATTCGCAAGTTTTCCTCCTATATTACTATAATGTTTCACAAAAAGTTCGGCAATTTTTGAGTCTTCTAATCTGAAACTATTACCTCATAGTTTGGAATACACTTCGAGGAATATTGACAGGTTTTGACACGGTTTGCGTGGTTAACTTCGAGTAAAAATGGCTTTACCTTGATGATCTGCACCGACGGCTTGGGCGCGATCTTCTTGTACTGCTTCGGCGCTTGCGCGTGCTGCTGCTGCAACGCGGGCGGCCCGGGCGAGGACGGCCCACCGGCGTCCGTGTCCGTATCGTCCGAGTCCTCGAACTTCATGCGCTTGCCGAACGAGTCGTCGCTGTCGGGCGAGCGGGCGCGCTTGCCGCCCGAGGGCGCCGCGTTCTCCTCGTCCGATATCGAGCCGCACCACGCCTTCACCTGGTCGAGGGCCTTCTGTTTGCTGGTCCGTTGCGGCCGACTGGAATTTGATATATACATACCGCGTGTTTCTCAAAAGTGGCTCACCGCTATAACTTCTGTGTTTGTACAGATAAACATATGGAATTCGGTGTGCGAGCATAGTATAATGATATATCGAAGATTGGAACCTTTGGCACGATACTACACTACACACTTTCCTGAAGATGCTAACATAGTTAGCGAAACACTTGTAGAGGTGTAAAAAATCGGTTTGGTTAGTGGTAAAACAATGTTTAGTGTAGTATAATTGTTGTTCTAAAATTGTTCTATCCGTCATTCGGTTGCCCCCTTACGAGCAACCCTCAGAAGCCTTCGAAAGTCTTGTGCGAGCAAGGAATGACGGGGGCCTTACCTTTTAACGTGTGATCCCAAACACTTTCTTGGGCCATCAGAAAAATTTCTGCAGTCGACGGGGATCGAACCCACGACCGGCAAGCGAATGCGAATTAGAATATAGACACTCTGTCCGCACGGCTACCTGGCCTAATGATAATATTAATATTAAAAGTGCTTTATTGGTTACCCAATAGGCCAATGACCGGAATCCTTCAGCCTGTTATACGTTTACATCTATTGTATTTCATTTGTTTTGTTTTATAATATCGCACGCCCAAAACAACACTGCACCAAGTCAAAATAGCGTATTTTTCAGAATCGACGAAAAACCGTTATCTCATGTTATGTCAAAGTAAATGCTGAAGTTTTAAACATTACCTGTAAAAAATCCAAATCGTATCAGGATTCTATAGTTCTTGATACAAAACGTGTCAATTAAGCAGAAAAAATACATTTTTTGACATAATTCACTGTTGTGGAATGACAAAGAAATTAAAAATAATTATTTCGAGTTACGTGCTTTTTGTTGATTTATTCTGAAATAGTGCACTATTATTTTACTATACTTAAGTATTGAGATTCAATACAGTGCTTTCAAAAGTACTGAATGAATTCAATTTCAGTGAAACTATCAATTTCTGAGGAATTTTCTGAGACAAGACGATTTTTATCTTCAGTTTGCCACATTTTCAATGTATAATTAAATATACAGGGTGACCCACGTTTGAGTTATGACGACCGTGAGTAGAATTGGAATACCCTTGAGTATTCTCTGTAGAAGGACTTGGTCTATTGTATTCATCATCAGATGAACTACTGGAACTGCTGGAGCTTTATGATGATAAGCTGTAGTCTGGCGAGGAGCACGAGGAGAAAAAAGAGAATAATCTGTTAGGGGTTACAAAAGGCCAAGGTAATCGTATATCAAGTCGTTCAAGTTACCATTTCAGTCCTGTTCGGCCTGACAATTGTAGGAACTGTCAACTGTCATTTTCGAATTTTGTTGCAATCAGAATTATTCAAACAGTGTCGTCAACAAATTGTCTTCCATTAGGCGATGTGAATCGTTCTTGATGGTTTGGATTGTTCTGGACAAATTCCTTGTGTCAGTAGATATTGAACAGGAATGGTGATAGGAGTTGTGACTCGTAGGAAGGTAATCTCAGGGTGTTTTGGGGGTTTGAGTCAACAAGTGGAAATTAGGCAACTTTGTTGACGATTCTCGAGCTTTATTGGCCACAAAGGTAGATACAATCCGCGGTGTTCTACAACTAATAGAGAAAAATATTCCTACATTTGATCGCTGATAATAATAATAATATGCAACAATTACATTCCCGCCATAACCTCAAAAGACCACAGCCAAGCTACACTATTTTAATCGAATAAATGAAAACTTTGTTCACTCACCTAATACCAGGCAGGTCTGGGCTTCAATACTTGGTATTAAATCCAGCACTTTGCCCTAAGGCTACTAAATTGCAATAATTACTCGCGGAAAAAATACACCTGACTGTCGATGCCGATAACGCTGTTCTTCCGAATTCCAATTTCAGCTACACCTACACCTGCGATAAGCTATCTTTATAAAAGAATCATCGAAATCAGACCGACCCTGACATCTAGGAGTGGTGGGACCAAGCACTATCTGCGCGCGGGTAGAGGTCTGGGTGAGCTAGAGAGTAACATCACGAAAGCCATGTTGGTAGCGAAAAAGGGTTTGCTACATCTCGCCCCCCGAGCTTCGGAGACGATTAGGAAGGATCCGAAGCTAAAGCTAATGGTTCAAAATATTTCTTTAGATGGCTAACGTGAAATAACCCACGTTCCCTGCCACTTTCCGGGTCAGCGATGATATAAGTATTCCTATCTATAACGCGTTTGATGACATAGGGACCTTCGAACAGAGGCAAAAATTTCTTTGTCTCTGAACGGATGGCGGAGGAAATCGGGTTCGCCTCGAGTAGTACTAGATCGCCCCCCTCATAACTAGGAGGTAGTGATCTTCGTTGCCTGAAGGCCCGACGTGAGACTCGACTCTCCAACGCTTCCCGGGCCAGTATCCATTTCCCGGACAAGGATAATGGTGGGCGATCCGTTCGCGGGCCCAATAGGGATCTCGGTAATAGTCTATGTGGTTCGGAATCTGACTGCAGCTCGATAGGACTAAAACCTGTTGTTTCATGGACTAAATTATTCAAGAACGCGGCGAACTTGGGTAATTCGTTTGCCCATCGGGTATGCTGCTCAGAGCAATAAGTCCGACAGAGACGCCCGATTTCACGCATGGTTCTTTCGCTGGGATTTGACTGTGGATGCCTTACTGAGGAAAATATCACCTGAGCCCCTTGTTCGGCAAGAGTCTCCTTCCATCGACGGTTATTGAACTGGGTGCCGTGATCGGATAAGATTCGTTTGGGTACTCCATGCGTTGGAAAATAGTCATTTTGCAGACGGTGTAAGACGGCGCGCGTAGTCGCCTTCTTGAGGGCATAAAAGGTTACAAATTTTGTGAACACGTCGACGAGTACGAAGACGAAAGACACACCTCCCCTGCCTTGAGGTAAAGGCCCATATAGGTCCACAGCGACTAGGTCGCCCTTGCCTGCCGGAATAATAGGCTGAAAAGGGGCTTTGGGAAGAGGGGAGTTCTTTGACCGTTGGCATATGTCACATGCTCGGATGGTCCGCTTAACGTCGGGAGACATATTGGTCCACCACACTTCACGTTGGAGAGCCTTCAAGGTCTTATAACTGCCGAAGTGTCCTAAACCCTCATGAAAAATTTGGGCGAATCTACCCGCCAGTTTTTTTGGCACACACAGACGATAGTGATCGTCCTGTGCTGATCGAATGTATAGGAGATTTTTATGCACTGCAAAACGCTCTAGAAGTTTAGGGTCTCGGGCCAAGTTCAATTTGATGTCCATCAACTTATGGTCTGCTTCTTGGTGTTTCTCAAACCCTTTCAGTAAAAGTTGAAAGTCGGGAGGGAGTTGGAATAATGTTAGGATCCTGAATTGTTTGCTGAGGGGGGAGGTCGGTCGCGGAGAGGTAAACCGGGACAAACAGTCTGCTATCACATTTTTCGAACCGGGAATGTATTCGAGGGTGAAGTCATATTCCTGGATCGCCAATGCATACCGGGATATACGCCCTGATAAAAGCCGGCATGTTTTTAGGTAGGTCACTGAACTGTTATCAGTAAAAATCTTAAACGGTCGACCCAGTAGAAATATGCGGAACCTGTCCAACGCCCAAACCACGGCCAGGGCCTCTAACTCATTCACACTATAACGAGTTTCTCGCTCGAGTAACCTACGACTGGCCCACGCCACCGATTTCTTTTCCCCATCAATTTCTTGGAAGAGATGGGCCCCCAGGGCAGTATCCGAACTGTCGGTTTGTAAGCAAAACGGGAATCCCTCCCGCGGGTGGTACAACAAGGTATTCCTACATAATTCTCCCTTTAATCGTTCGAAGGCTTGCTGCTCCTTTTCTCCCCACCTCCATGTTTGAGAACCTTTCAACAGGTTAGTAAGGGGAGCCGCGATGGCTGAGAAGCCTGCTACGAACGACCGATCAAAGTTGGCTAATCCGATAAAGCGCTGCAACTGCTTCGAATTTTTTGGGGTAGTATAATCCTCTAGGGCTTGCACCCTCTTTGGGTCTGGGCGGATGGATTCTGCGGTGATAATATATCCCAAGAAGGGCATTTCCTGCCGAAAAAAGGAGCATTTTTTTAATCGCAGAGTAAACCCGGCCTGGCCTAAACGCGACAGAACCTTATCAATATGATCGAGATGTTGCTCAAAACTGGTAGATGTTATAAGAATATCATCTACATATACAGTGACGAATGAATTAAACTCCGGCCCAAGAATAATGCTTAAACAACGGGTAAACGTACTTACGCTGGTCGATAACCCGAAAGGCAGGGTACAGAAGACATAGGTCTTTCCGTCGAACTGAAATCCAGTATACTTCTGGCTCTCCGGAGATAGCGGGATTTGGTAATACCCCTGGGTGAAATCCACCGTGGACATGTATTTAATAGCGCCTAGTGTGTGGAGAATTTCTTCCATTGGCCTAGGCGTTTCATATTCTTTCTCCATTAGCGTGTTTAAAAAACGTGCATCAAGGCAAATTCGCACCGAGTTGTCCCTTTTCAGCGTGGTCATAATAGGAGATACATAGGGGGTTGCCATTCGCTTGATAACCCCCCACTGCAGCATCTGGTTCAACTGTGCTTGAATTGCCTCCTTGTGAGCAATAGGGACTGGGTATTGCCTCTTAAAAAATGGTTGGTCTACGCGCAGCTTGATAGAATGAACATACTCCGTGGTGATACCTGGCCGATCCGAAAAAATAGCAGCATGTTTGTAAAGAAGTTTTCGGAACAACTCTTTCTGGTTGACTGACAAATTACTACCCTCTAACAGCGTCTCCAGATCGGCGGTCAGAAACGCCGGCTCTGCACTTAATGATAAAATCGAGATGGCACGCTGTTGAATCGACCGAAGCTCTACGGAAGACGGCTTCCCTAACACATGCTGAGCATTGACCTCCGGGACCACCAACCAGCCATTACTTACACACAAAAAAATCTTTTCCTCCTCGAGGTTGATCTTGGCCTTGAATCGACGAAGAAAATCCATTCCG